GAGTCGCTCTCCGCCTTCGAGGCCTCCTCCGCTATCTCCCCACATCTCCCCATACCGCCCCATACCGCCCCATAATTAAGAGTCGCTCTCCGCCTTCGAGGCCTCCTCCGCTATCTCCCCACATCTCCCAATACCGCCCCATACCGCCCCATAATTAAGAGTCGCTCTCCGCCTTCGAGGCCTCCTCCGCTATCTCCCCACATCTCCCCATACCGCCCCATACCTCCCCATAATTAAGAGTCGCTCTCCGCCTTCGAGGCCTCCTCCGCTATCTCCCCACATCTCCCCATACCGCCCCATACCGCCCCATAATTAAGAGTCGCTCTCCGCCTTCGAGGCCTCCTCCGCTATCTCCCCACATCTCCCCATACCGCCCCATACCGCCCCATAATTAAGAGTCGCTCTCCGCCTTCGAGGCCTCCTCCGCTATCTCCCCACATCTCCCCATACCGCCCCATACCGCCCCATAATTAAGAGTCGCTCTCCGCCTTCGAGGCCTCCTCCGCGTTCGGCGTCCTCTCCCTCCTCTACCTCGTCCTCTCCGTCGCGTACCACGCCGCCGCCGACTGCAGCCGCAACCCGCAAGAGACGATCCAGCAAGTCGAGCTCGCGCGGTTCGGACCGAGCGGCCTCTCCTCGCTCGCCATCCTGCTGTTTGCCTTCACGTGCCAGGTCGCGGCACGACCGCGCCGGCCCACAGCGACACCTTGCCCCTTCGCCCACCCCCACCCGCGCCCCGCTGACCGCCGTGCCGGCCGGCGCCAGTGCTGCCCTCACCTCCCCGCATCGGGCAGGTCATCTCGGGCCATCTCGGCTCATCTCGGCTCATCTCGGCTCATCTCGGCTCATCTCGGCACATCTCGGCTCATCTCTCCTCCCCGCACCGGGCAGGTCAACGTGCCCTCGATGTTTGCAGAGCTCCAGCCGCCGAACCCGGCCACGATGCGACACATCTCTCGCCGCGCCGTCCTGCTCTGCCTCGGCTGCTACGCCCTCATCGGCACCGCCGGCTACGTCAACTTCCCACACAAGCGCGAGTCGAACGTCCTCTCAAACTACGAGCTCGACGAGCCGCACTCCCGCATGATGGCCCCCTCCTTCGGCGCGATCGCCCTCACCGTGCTGATGGCGCGCGCCCGCCGCAACGTCCTCCCGCCCGCGCCG